AAAGTGCATCTGTCCATGATAAAAGTGCATCCATCCATCATAAAAGTGTATCTATCTATCATAAAAGTGCATCTATCCATCATAAAAGTGCATCTATCCATCATAAAAGTGCATCTATCCATCACAAAAGTGCATCTATCCATCATAAAAGTGCATCTATCCATCATAAAAATGCATCCATCCATCATAAAAGTGCATCTATCCATCATAAAAGTGCATCTGTCCATGATAAAAGTGCATCCATCCATCATAAAAGTGCATCCATCCATCATAAAAGTGCATCTATCCATCATAAAAGTGCATCCATCCATCATAAAAGTGCATCTATCCATCATAAAGGTGCATCTGTCCATCATAAAAGTGCATCTATCTATCATAAAAGTGCATCCATCCATCATAAAAGTGCATCTATCCATCATAAAAGTGCATCTATCCATCATAAAAGTGCATCTATCCATCATAAAAATGCATCCATCCATCATAAAAATGCATCCATCCATCATAAAAGTGCATCTATCCATCATAAAAGTGCATCTGTCCATGATAAAAGTGCATCCATCCATCATAAAAGTGCATCCATCCATCATAAAAGTGCATCTATCCATCATAAAAGTGCATCTATCCATCATAAAAATGCATCCATCCATCATAAAAAAGTGCATCTATCCATCATAAAAGTGCATCTGTCCATCATTAAAGTGCATCCATCCATCATAAAAGTGCATCTGTCCATCATAAAAGTGCATCCATCCATCATAAAAGTGCATCTGTCCATCATAAAAGTGCATCTATCCATCATAAAAGTGCATCTATCATCATAAAAGTGCATCTATCCATCATAAAAGTGCATCTGTCCATCATAAAAGTGCATCCATCCATCATAAAAGTGCATCCATCCATCATAAAAGTGCATCCATCCATCATAAAAGTGCATCTATCCATCATAAAAGTGCATCCATCCATCATAAAAGTGCATCCATCCATCATAAAAGTGCATCCATCCATCATAAAAGTGCATCCATCCATCATAAAAGTGCATCTATCCATGATAAAAGTGCATCCATCCATCATAAAAGTGCATCCATCCATCATAAAAGTGCATCCATCCATCATAAAAGTGCATCTATCCATGATAAAAGTGCATCTGTCCATCATAAAAGTGCATCCATCCATCATAAAAGTGCATCCATCCATCATAAAAGTGCATCTGTCCATCATAAAAGTGCATCTGTCCATCATAAAAGTGCATCCATTCATCATAAAAGTGCATCCATCCATCATAAAAGTGCATCCATCCATCATAAAAGTGCATTTATCCATGATAAAAGTGCATCCATCCATCATAAAAGTGCATTTATCCATGATAAAAGTGCATCCATCCATCATAAAAGTGCATCCATCCATCATAAAAGTGCATCCATCCATCATAAAAGTGCATCTATCCATGATAAAAGTGCATCCATCCATCATAAAAGTGCATCCATCCATCATAAAAGTGCATCTGTCCATCATAAAAGTGCATCTGTCCATTATAAAAGTGCATCCATCCATCATAAAAGTGCATCCATCCATCATAAAAGTGCATCCATCCATCATAAAAGTGCATCTGTCCATCATAAAAGTGCATCTGTCCATTATAAAAGTGCATCTATCCATCATAAAAGTGCATCTATAGACCTTATGCACCAGAGAAACGAGGGCGCCGCCATCTTTAGAATATTGTTTTTGCGGTCGCTCTGTATATTTCTATGGCATCGCTGTCTAGGTGTAATTAGCTGGTGAAGTTGATTTACTTATTGTAGAGCTAACGAAAGTTATCATGAGCATTGTAATGTTTATGATAAGCATTGTAAAGCATATGTCTTAACACCTTGGACCTTGGGAATTTTTTAAACGAGCCGTTCATTCATAACTACGCAAGATCGCTGTGAAAATACAGACCGGATGTCAAAAGACAATGAGCTCAGCGCGGAAAAGGGGCGGGGCTACATAAGGTCTATCCATCATTAAAGTAATAATTCCAGTCATAATTCAGAACGAATGTATTTTCATGAGAATGTTTGTCCTTGACCAGCTTTACTAGATATTGACATGTTAGAAGAGTTCGCTTACCTCCGTACAACAGAAGGTGGGCGTGTCCAGCTGGAGCTGCTGCCCAATCAGGGGATGCTTATCAAGTAAGTCCCGCCCACATCACACACATCAGCCGTTAGAACTGGAAATGATGACCGTGATCATCTGAGGTCTCTCCCTCCTTTCTGCTTCCTCTCTCCTTTTGTTTTGGACATAATGAATCGGCTGCGATTACGATGAACAACCATTAGCGAGTTTTCCTTACCCTGCTTTCTGATTGGCTCGTTATCCTCTCCAGATGCTTTTTGAAGGCATTTGTGATCAGTTTTATGGGCTGTGTCTGATATTGTGTCGCATCGCAAGCTCTGTAATGAAGCTGAGGTCTGTTTAGGGTCGGGAATCGAAATAAAAGACTTAAAAATATAAATCATACAGTATTACTTTCCAATCATGTCCAATTTGAAATGAAGCAAAAGAGAATCCCTTGTGTGAATGATTCAATGACTCGCTCATAAACACTTCACTGGATAAATCAGTGTTTTTTTTTAACCAATCATGTCCGATTTGAAATGAAGCAAGAACTGTACTGTTATGTGGAATAATGTAGCGATTTATCATTACATTTATCATTTATTATTAAAATAGGCTGGAAGAAAAGTGTCCCTCGGTTATTTTAAGCTAATTATTTTTGTAATTTTGTTGGGTGTTTTTGTTGTCTAATTTTTATACGTTGTCTATATTTTTATGAATTCATTTTTAATAATACAATTTTATTTGTTTTTATTTGAGTTTTAGCTAAAAAAAGTAATGTTTTTTACATTTTCATTATTATTTTCAATACAGTAGATCATTAGAAACAAAATATTAGGCGATAATGTCTCACTTTTCGTATAATGGCTTTTCACCACATAAATAATGACATGATCAATAATGAAATATTGATTTAAGGAGAAACTGTTTTAAAACCGTATACGATTTAAAAAAAAGTTTCTTCTCAAATCAATATTTCATTACTGATCATGTCATTATTTATGTATTAAGTGTAAAGTTGCCAGATCGTCGTTCTGGCAAGAAGACGAACACTTCAACACTGTTACCGTAGGCCTACAATAATACTGATGTCCGCCGGTTTGATTTTACTGTAAATAGAGTCGATAACTGAGGCTGCGTTTAATTAAACGAGAGAGAGAGAGAGCGAGAGAGAGAGAGAGAGAGAGAGTGTGTTCATCTGCGGTGGGATACGAGAAACATTAAAGAAGCATTGCTGTTCATTACCGGCCAATAACTGGCCTCGGAATGTTGCGACTGACCAATCAGAACCAAGCATTTCAGAGAGGCGTGTCATATCTCCTGACGAGGCGCTGGTTGGGCTGTGGGAGTGTGAATGTAAGCTGTGGTAGAGCTGGCGGTGCGTTTGAGTTCAGCCCCGTCACTCGAGGTGCTGATGAAATGGTGTTTGCTGTCCGTAGGAACCCTAGCCCCGCCCTGGGGGCGGAGTTAAACACCCTGATGCTTCCAGGGGCTCAGAAGGCTGACAGGTACCCCGCCCCCTTCATCGAAACCCCGCCCCCAAACTCCTCCCAGCCTGCTCATGCGTTTACATTCTCCTTTTCGTTCTTTTCACTGGGTTTTCATTCTGTTCAAGCATTTTCATTTTGCAAGATTGTTCCCGTTCTCATACGGCTCCTTTTCTTTGTGTTTTACTCAAATGGCTGTGAAGTCTTTGAAGAACGTTCTTTTGTTTGTTTGACGACATTGTGTTTGTTGTTTTCATTGAATATCAGCGTTTTACATTTTATGAGTGAATCTCACAGGAAATGTCAAGAAACGTCTGGGTCATATTTCACCCCGAGGATCGAAAGAAATTAATAATGCATAATGAAAAACAATCCATTTGCATCATTTTCCTGACAGAATGTGGAAAAAGTCTGATTCTCATTATTGAAATGCAAAATATATTTTTATATAAATTGATATTTTTATATAAACAAGTGAAATTAGAGCTGCACGATTCTGGATAAATTGAGATCACGATTCTAAGCAACTTAACAAAATAAAAATCTAAAATGTTTAGTTAATCTAAATAAATTATTTTAAAAAATCTGTTTGAAGGAATGATTCAATGACTCAAATATTTCACTTGTTTCAGTACTAGACGAATCCGTGTTTTTTTTAACGAATCTCTTGAGTGAATGATTCAATGACTCACTCAAATATTTCACTTGTTTCAGTACTGGATGAATCCACGTTTTTAAACGAATCTCTTGAGTGAATGATTCAATGACTCACTCATAAATATTTCACCTTTTTTCAGCACTGGACGAATCCTCGTTTTGAACGAATCTCTTGAGTGAATGATTCAATGACTCATAAATATTTCACTTGTTTCAGTACTGGATGAATCTGCGTTTTTGAACGAATCTCTTGAGTAAATGATTCAACGACTCACTCATAAATATTTCACTTGTTTCAGTACTGGACAAATCTGCGTTTTTGAACGAATCTCTTGAGTGAATGATTCAATGACTCACTCATAAATATTTCACTTGTTTCAGTACTGGACGAATCCGCGTTTTTGAACGAATCTCTGGAGTGAATGATTCAATGACTCATAAATATTTCACTTGTTTCAGTACTGGATGAATCCGCGTTTTTGAACGAATCTCCTGAGTGAGTGATTCAATGACTCACTCAAATATTTCACTTGTTTCAGTACTGGATGAATCCGCATTTTTGAACAATTTTCTTGAGTGAATGATTCAATGACTCACATTAATAAATATTTCACTTGTTTCAGTACTGGATGAATCTGCGTTTTTGAACGAATCTCTTGAGTGAATGATTCAACGACTCACTCATAAATATTTCACTTGTTTCAGTACTGGATGAATCCGCGTTTTTGAACGAATCTCCTGAGTGAGTGATTCAATGACTCACTCAAATATTTCACTTGTTTCAGTACTGGATGAATCCGCATTTTTGAACAATTTTCTTGAGTGAATGATTCAATGACTCACTCATAAATATTTCACTTGTTTCAGTACTGGATGAATCTGCGTTTTTGAACGAATCTCTTGAGTGAATGATTCAACGACTCACTCATAAATATTTCACTTGTTTCAGTACTGGACAAATCTGCGTTTTTGAATGAATATCTTGAGTGAATGATTCAATGACTCACTCAAATATTTCACTTGTTTCAGTCCTAGACGAATCCGCGTTTTTATCAAATCTCCTGAGTGAATGATTCAATGACAAATACATCTTTAACAGTCACTTGTCGCCACCTACTGGTGTAACGATGTAATCAATACAATTGTTAGTCGATCTTCAAAAAGAAGTTTTGTTTGGCATGGAATATGAGCCAGACTTTCTTTGTGAGGTTCACCCTTATATGTACTTTCTGCCACAGTATTTGTGTGTGTGTGTGTGTCCAGTGTGTTGTTGGACGAGCTGTGCACAGCTCTTATCGCTCTGAATGTGGAGAAACTGCTGTTTCATTAGTTCTTTCTGTACTTTGAGACCCATATCAGCTGTGTGTGTCTTCACATGCCGTGTGTCTGTTTTCATAGACATCACACCGTAACTCGAGGAATCACCAAAGGCGTGAAAGAGGATTTCCGGCTGGCGATGGAGCGTCAGGTGTCGCGGTGTGGAGAAAACCTGTTCACTGTGCTTCATCGTTTCTGCATTAATGAAAAGATCATCCTCATCCAGTCATTACCCTGAGCGACTCGTGTGTATCAGTTCTGCTTCGTCACTTCACATTCTTATAATGTAAGAGGACATAAGACATCTTTAAAGTCACATCCAGTGTTTTATTTGAGGTATTAACGATAAAAAAGATTCAGCATTTCCATGTTCTCTGTCTGTAAATGGAGATAGTACTGTTAAATTTATGTTTTTTTATATTGCATTGTTGTACAATACTTCATGAACTGTGTTTTGTGCGATATAATGTTTGCTGGCAGCTCATGATAAATAAAACAGTGTTTCTCTAGTTGTATACTGAGATTTTTCATTAATGATCTGCTCTAACCTGTTTCAGGCCATTCATTACTAGACATTCATGTAGTCTTTCCCAAAGGTCCACAATTTAATCTCACGATGTCTTTTGTTTCTTAGGCACTAATCTTTCTAATAGCTTTTAAATCAGTGGCTCTCAAATTTCGGATTTAGGAATCTATAAGCGTCACGCTCGTTTAAAGTCCCCCTGTAGTCAATCATATTATCCCTTAAAACTCATCTTTGATCACCAAAATAATGACATTTAAAATGGGCTTCAAAATATCTTTGAATGTAATTCGACACCCTTGCCTCATTTAGTATTCGCGTTTCTATGAATATGCAAATGAGCCCCGCCTCCACTCACTCCCTCAGCTCAGAGATCCACTGGTTGACGATCACACGTTGATCTGATTGGTTACAAGGTCGTTTGTGACGTCAGAAACACCAGCGATTTCAAACCGTGTTTTTGAGACTGTCTTTGGTTCACTGCAGTTTTAAGCAGAAAATACTCAGCAATGCTGTCGACTTATGAACTTACACATGATTTATATATTAAAAACACCACATATACACATAAACAACATTAAAAGCTGGATTTTCACCACAGGGGGACTTTAACCAATGGATTTGCATGACTTCTCCAGTTGTTTGTGATTCACTGCAAAAGGATTAAAGATACGGATTGGTAAAAAATATTTTGTACTCTAAAATTCCACCTGATCAAATATTTTAGAGCTTGGCATGATCAGTAAAATGTATATTCTTATAAAAAAAAATGCCCATTCATTTTTAAGATTTTATTAATGCACATGACTTTTCTAGTACGTAATGACTATACAGACTAAATTAAAATGCAAAATTGTGATTATGCAAAAATACATATATGCTTTATAAATAAATTTAGCTTTTCATGTTAAATGAAAAAGGACATGAAATATGCCTTAAAATCATGAAATATGAAGTACACCTTGATGCAGATGATATAAAACTAATCAATATATCACAAATTAATTAAATGCATAGTGAAATGTTGCAATAAATACATATATTCCCAAATTTGGCATGAAATGTAACACAAAACGTGACCAGAAATGTCAACATTATATATGAAAATAGAAACAACAACATGAAATTTACGTTAAAAATTAATATTTTCACTTTCACACAAAGTCTAGAGGACGAGGTCTAAATAATTGCTTTGTTTTTGAGTATAGAAATTGAATGCTCATACTTTAAATATTTTTTGCAACATCCAATGGCTTATTTAATAATTCCATTATATATTTATTTAGTTTGTTAAACCACTCCATATACCAGATCTATAAGTCATAGTATCCAGGTAAATGGGTGAACTAAAGTTAGAAACACAGTCAAACCAAAAATAATTGAAAAACCAGATTTAATTTGTGATATTCTTACTAGTGTGTGCAGGACACTGTAGTTCATTTATGTAAGTGAGGAGAGCAAAATAAAGTACACTGTGACATATTACACCCAATAATTCTTCATACCAGTAAAATGTATAAAAATTTGGGAGCAAACATGATTCCTCCACTTTGAGCTGATGATGTTTTGCTGAAGTGTGTTTTCTGTAATTGCTAATGCTCTTTTCACACACACTGAACAACATGAAGCATTGCTTGGTCACTGGTCGAGCTAAACTGGTATTCTCTAATTGTGTAGTTAAGTTTAACATCTGACAGATATTCAACATAATTCATGTGTGAGAGTCTAACAGAAGGACGGACAAAACCAGTCAAAGAGTTCTTGTCATATTTTATTGCCATTTTCTAAACTATAGCGAATAAGCTGTGATAATGTGAGAAATGTTGAAGGGGTCTGAATACATTTAGGTTTGACTGTATCTTGATTTTAGACTATTGTCTTGTTTCTAAATGAATGTCCGCTTGACAATATCAATGAAATTCATTTGTTAGATCACTCTTCTTCTCTCTCCGAGTGAATGGGAAGGTTGGCCTGCAGAGACGCTCTAAGATTTGCCCAAAACAGCTTCTGCTTGGCTCCTTCTTGCGGCCACTCGAGATATGTGCGTCTGGACATCATGGCCTTGAGCTGGTAATACTTTGAGGGAATGAGATATGACGGCAGAGGTTCGAGCAGAATGAGGATAATGCTATCCATCCCTTGCATTACCCGTTGGTGATTGGCGAAGTAAAGCTCGTAGTGGCACCATTCGCTCTGGACGAAGTGAGACGAGAGAACAAACACGCACTTTCTGCTTTGCTCGATGCATCGGAGGATGTTCTGAACGATCGTTTTCCCCGGGATGAAGTCCCGCTCGTGGTGACACACTCGCAACCCACACTCGCCTTCCAGCTTGGGGAGAAATTGAGCTTTGACCCATTCGGCGTTTCGTTGGCTGTACGATACGAACGCATGAAAGTGCAACTCCTTCATATCCTCCGCCTTCTTTCTGGAGGTTATTGCGTGTTTCTTGGCGCTTGTCCATTTCCAAATCATCTTGAGGTACCAGGGCACGTCCAGGCGGTGGCAAAGAAGGCTGACGGCAACTATCAAAGCGATTGTCGGGATTAGAATAGTAATAGCAAGAATCCAGCCGTCGCAGGATATCTCGGGAAGGTAGAAGTCTTTGAGCATTGTGTTGCTTCGGGATTCTGGGTAACTGCATTGATATCCTTCCGGCCAGTGGCCAAGAGTCACGCTATTGGCGTGTGTCGCTCGGTTATTGATAAGAGCCGCGAATTCACGCAAGGCACACGTGCAGATGAAGGGGTTACGGCTCAAGTCGAGATCTTTAAGATGTTGGCAAGTCTTGAGGGAGTCCGGGAACGGCGAATGGAGGGAGTTTGACCTTAACAGGAGCTTGTGGAGGTTTGGGAATGCTTGACATGTGGGAAGGTCGAGCAAGCGGTTATCCGTGAGGTCTAAAACGCTTAAGTTTTCCAACACACGAACATCTGTCGGGACTAAGGTCACTCGGTTATTCCGGAGGTTTAAGATGCGTATGGAATCGGGCAAACACTTGAAGACGCTCTGGTCAAACCCATTGGAGGAGAAGTCCACGTGGACGACGTTGCGAGGCCAAACGCACTTGCCTTGCTCCTGAGAATAGCTAAGCGTGTTCTGACTGAGATCGACGTATTTCAGCGAGATCATGAGATTGATTCTTGAGGTCAGTGGTCCGAGATGTTTCAGGTTGTTGCCTCTTAAAACCAGGTTTTCCAGGTTTGTAAGTGTATCGCATTCCTTGTCCGGACCAATAGAGAAGATTTTTTCCGTAAGAGCGCAATCGGACAAGTCCAACGCCTCGATCTTGCTAACAGTCCAAGGACAGGTCATAAAGATGATTGGCGTTTGGGTGAAACTGACGTTCCTCGCTGGCATGTTTATGAAGAAGTCGTAGAGAATCGTTTGGTCGAAGAGGAATTGGGTTACGGACGCTCGTCTTGCAGAGAAGGAGTCCAGTACGCGGCTTGAGGACACTTGGCTGCCCTTTGCCATGTTCGTCATGGTTAGGTCAGAAAAGGAAAGCCGTTGAATGACAGAAGTAAATATAGTGTTTACACAGCTTGTCAGAACTTCCCATGTGGTTTCAACCGTGGAGATTTCCAGGCTAACGGTGCGTACCGTTCCCCGACGGCGTATCTCCTGGAGAACCTTCATCTCACGGTCCACTTTAGTGAATTCGACCTCTCTAAACGATGCAAGAACATCACCAGCGATTGCAATATCGTGGTTACTGTTGGAAAAGGCGATGATGGCTTTCTCCGCATGCACATCCATTAAACTCCTCTCCTCGTACATCTGGAGTTTGTCGGTATTAATAAAGAGCGTTTTCAAGGTAAGACTAGCAATGTGAGTGAAGTCTTTGTTGCTGATTGATATTGCACTCAGGCCGAGCCATTGCAGGCGTTTCAAGGTAGAAAATTCCTTCCCTAGTGCCATGACGGAAAACATGTTGGATGACAAGTCTAAGAACTGAAGATTTCCCGTGTTAAACAGATACGGTTGATCCGAGAGATTCTGGAGTTTGTTGTGCGACAGGTCCAAGATTTCCAAAGCCGGTGTTGAGTTGAATGTGTCCGCGTGTATGTTTTCCAGCGTATTCCAGGACAGATTGAGGGAATGGAGTCGTGGTGTTGTGCTGAAGTCTTTGCCGCTCAGCATTTGGATGCGGTTAAGCGACAGGTCCAGGTCTTCTGTAGACGGGTTCAGGCCGGGAGGAACCGAGGACAGGTTTTGAGATGAATAATTCACTATGATCCTCTTAATGGCCAGATTGAGAGATGGGTGGAAACACGTGACATACACACACACCAACCACCAGCCCGACGCCGTCATCTTTCTGACACGAGTGAATCTGAGGGAGAAAAATATGTAATTTTCATTTCCTATTTTAAGTCAACCGCATTATTGACTTATCACAGTTTTCACTTTTACTTAAGTCCCTAGCATTAGTTTGCATTGTGGTTATAGTAGCAGTATTTTTAATTTACTGAAAAAAAAGAGTTTTTTTCAATGTAAAATTAGGCTTTTCTGCAGTTTCTGCTACTTTTACTGTGAGACAAATTACATTTAAACGATAGATAGATAGATAGATAGATAGATAGATAGATAGATAGATAGATAGATAGATAGATAGATAGATAGATAGATAGATAGATAGATAGAAAAATAGATAGATAGATAGATAGATAGATAGATAGATAGATAGATAGATAGATAGATAGATAGATAGATAGATAGATAGAAAAATAGATAGATAGATAGATAGATAGATAGATAGATAGATAGATAGATAGATAGATAGATAGATAGATAGATAGATAGATAGATGATATTTCTCTTACCCGTCCGCTGTGGAGGTTAGCTTACACTTGGTTGATCACCATCTTATGAAACTGTTGATCATATTTTAATGATGTTGCTGCACTTCTGCTTTTCCGGCTGTTTCACTTCTCTAAACGGCAGACACTTACCGACAGTCACAGTTATTGACTGACAGATGGAGCTTCATATGGCAGGAATAATTTGAATTTGTAGGCAAGCGTCTTAAAGTTTATCCATCAGAGAAAGCATTCGTGTCACAGTGAGTTTGTTCTAGTGCACGTTCTGTGTTGCATGAAGGCGTTTACATATATGAATGTCAAAAAGTCTTTTTTTTTTTGCAGTACCATATTTGACCAGCAGAGGATTTGTTTGCTTCCTCAGCTGATTTAAAGGGATAGTTCACCCAAAAATAAAAATTCTGTCATTTACTCATACAAGTTCGGAACAACTTGAGGGTGGGCAATTGATGAGAGATATCTCAATATCAGAAAAGATATATAATTCTGCCCAGAGCCTAAAATTAACTCTCGCCTAGTGCTAAATGCAAGTAACCCGAACCTAGGCGCTGTGTTGTGCACACACATCTGAAGCCGATCGCAAACACTAAACTGAGCTCTCTTTCACGTCTTGCACTCGAGCGGACAAATTCACACAAAATGATGTAAAAAAATTGCGAATATCCCAGTAAATATAGTCAGTAATGCCTTAAAGGGCATATTGCAGGTTAGAGGACCCAACGAGTCAATGTATAGAAAAATAATGTAGGAACTAGATTTTCTTTAAAATATTCTTATAAATACGCTACAGAAGCTTCTGGAGTCGTTTTTGTGAGAAAATTTTACTTCCGCGTCTGAAAATGGGCGTGGCGGGCGTGATGTAACGGCGGGAGAGCGGTCGATTCAGACAACAGGAAAACAATGGATCGCAAAGACATTTCGGACGCTGAGGAAGTACTTACATGACGGACCACAGCCATACAATTATGAGCCTGCTATGCTGCCGAGAGAACAGGACAGGCCAGGATTAATGTCAGACAGAACGGTCAGAGACACCATGAGTTGTGGTGTGAGAACCAGTGGAGAACAGGACAGGTGTCTTGGTGAGAGACGTGCTTATAGATATACACGTTCGCTAACGATATACACTGTGCTCACAATATTGTACAGATTATTACCATCGTATATCAGGCCAGCAGACATTAGTATGTTTAGGGTAGATGTATACTATTAAATGTATAAAAACTATACTTGAGTATATTTCTATTGTAAGTTACTAAAAACATACTCAAGTACATTTTTAAAACATATTTTTCATCTGGGTTATAACATAAACAGAAAATTAAAGATTTGAATATTTAATCAACCTAGTAATTTTGTTTTTCAATTACAAGTTGCCTCTATTTAAGGCATGACTACCTATATCACACTATTTGATGCCATTGGTACAGTATACGACGATCAATATTCTTGCTTCGGCATCCCATGTTGAACTCCATCATATCGCCGGGATGATAATCCTCCGATCTGAAGTGAACGCTACACACGATCTGAAGTGAACGCTACACACGATCTGAAGTGAACGCTACACACGATCTGAAGTGAACGCTACACACGATCTGAAGTGAACGCTACACACGATCTGAAGTGAACGCTACACACGATCTGAAGTGAACGCTACACACGATCTGAAGTGAACGCTACATACGATCTGAAGTGAACGCTACATACGATCTGAAGTGAACGCTACACACGATCTGAAGTGAACGCTACATACGATCTGAAGTGAAAGCTACACACGATCTGAAGTGAACGCTACATACGATCTGAAGTGAAAGCTACACACGATCTGAAGTGAACGCTACATACGATCTGAAGTGAACGCTACACACGATCTGAAGTGAACGCTACACACGATCTGAAGTGAACGCTACATACGATCTGAAGTGAAAGCTACACACGACCGCGGTTCTCGAAGCCGATGCGGAAGAGAAATCCCGTCTCTTCACCTGCACACACCGCACCAGGCACGAAAGATTTACAACACCGTCCTTTTTCTTGTTATGGAAACCTGTGGACTCGATGTCCTGACAGGCCGGAGTTTTTGCAACCTCCACAAACACAATAATTTACCATGACGATGATAGATTGAAATACAAAAACTACCGAAAACACACTGACTCACGGCCGCTCTCACTGAACGCCAGCCTACTCTGCACTGAGCCGAGGCTGAGGCTCCCTAGCGTGACGTAAAATGACGCGATGTTGAAAAAAAAGCCGTTTTTACGAGCAGTCCAAGAAACGCTCACTTTATCTACTAAATTAGTGCCCTTATGTCGTTTTAAAACATTTTAAATCCTGCATTACCTTTTCATATGGTATTTTCATACAAGGTTATATATTAATTTAGATTTTTTTTTAACCTGCAATATGCTCTTTAAGTGAAAGTAAACAGTTGAGAAAGTAAACGCATGTGTATCAGCATAAGTGTATTAGATCGGTGCATTCGCTCTTAAAGTGACAGTAGCCTATTTGTCAGACGTCTTTGTTTATTGTGATAAGAAAAAAAAAAAAAAAAAAAAAACTAATATAAATATATTTTAAGAAAGCTGATCATAAGAGAAATCCTCTTTGAACAAACATGAAGCATGCAGTCATGAGGACTGATAATGCTGTGAGGTTCAGTTATATAAAGCACTTTATTTACCTCAGACTCAGCAAATACTGTTAAGTGTTAATTATTCACCAACACCATCCAGCCTGAGTGTGTGTGTGTGTGACTAAGGAACCATAATATTTTATTTGACCGTCTTTTATCAAATGATTTGAAGTATTTTACAGCACGAGGCGACGACGTGCTCCTGACGTTAATTATATGTAATTATGGGAAATAGTTTTTGTGCTCCGTGAACAAATAACTTAACGATTTACTATTTTAACCAATGTTTATTATAACTAGAGCTGTTGTATTGAGTCGGGGTGCTGCAGGAAGTCATCTCTCGACATGTTTTCTGTGTGTGTGTGTTGTTTTCTCTGTTGTTTTCCTTCAGCATCCTGTATTATCAGTCACCTGATCTAATCAAACGCTCCTTTGGGCATCAGAGTGTGTCTCGAAACACAATCACACGCAGGTCGAGGCGTTTCTGCCCTCGTAAAACTAGAGTCACCTGTCCTGAAACTGCCATTGACTTTAATTGAGTTTGATCTTCAACCCTGCGTGTAAAGCGCAGTTTACTGTGGCCTTCAGCGCGCGCTGTTGTTGTTCTGATCGTCTTCCGGTCTGGTGTTGAAGACACGTGACGTAACACAGCTCTTCATATTAAAGCTGTTCTTCATTCAGTGACAGGCTGAAATCAAAGCATTGCTCGTGATGATGGAGAGATTGAGAGTTATTCTTAGCGAACATCTCATGCTCATAACTAGGGGTGTTTTTCAAAGCACATGCACTTTTATGAAAACTAACATATTTCAACCCGAGATTTGGATTATATAATTTATTTTCAAAGGCTTTGCATGATTTTCTTCATCCCTGACCAATATTTTCAATTACATTTTTGATTCTATAATAATATAAAATGATAAACTATAATAATATAAAATAGATAACTAATAATCTAGCTATTTCTATATTTATTGTGTCATTGTTTTCACAAATTATGTCTGTTTCCATCATTACTAACAATTTTACCCTTTAGGCTATAAACTTTAGTCGATGTGTGAAGAAAACGAAGAAAAATAAAGGTAAATATCACTTTTTTTTATTGTTTGATATTTATTTTATAATAAGTCTATGCAAAAGGTGCAAATATTGTTTAATTGCATGCATTTAGGATTCATGATATATAACAAGCTTGCAAGATTGGTCTTTAAAATTAAATTTACACTTTTGAAAATGTTCTTTAGTCTTGGTTAATGAAGAGTTTGAGATGAAATATGGCACGTGATGTGTGAAGAACACGAAGAAAAATAAAGGTAAATATACATTTTTCTTATTGTTTGATATTTACTTTTATTGTGCATACACTCTAAAAAATGCTGGGTTGTTTCAACCCAAATTTGGGTTAAATATGGACAAACCCAAATGTTGGGTTAAAAATGTAATTTAAAATTT